TCCTCTTTTGAAATATTTCACTCATAATATATTTCAGCGTAATATCCCCAAGGGTCACCTATGTTGTGCAATGTTTTATGTTGTTGTTTGCCTTCGAGTTGAGCATGAATCATAATGACCCTGTGAACAAAAGGCTTGAAGCCCCTCTACAACTATTGACATTTATCAAAGTTCATAGAGTTTCCGGAGGCATGTTGTTTAGGAAGTGGATGCCACTCCTGCCTCCAAACCTGTCATAGAATGTTATTGTTTGTTGAGTTGCCTGCGATGCATGGTGTCCCTATGTACAGCAGCTCTGAACTCTTCCCTGTCCTGAGCCAGTCTCACTAATTCTGACACACCAACCCCTATTGTATCAGTTAGTATATCAATCCATCTCATCTGGGGTCTTCCTCTTCTGCACTTTCCATCCTCCCTTCCAAGGACCAATCTCTCCTGGCCACATGCCTAAAATAAGTGAGGCAGAACTTCAAAATCCTAGCCTCCAAGGAGAGACTTGGTTTCATTTCATCCTCTCCAAGACAGACCTATTTGTTTTCTTGGCAGTCCATGGTATGTTCAAGACTCTTTTCCAGCACTACAACTCGAAGGCATCTATTCTTCTTCTGTCATCCGAAGTCATTGTCCATCTCTCTGAAGCATAATAAGTAATTGGGAAGACCATAGGTGCACCTTTGATCTAGACTGACATCGTTGCTCTTCAGCACTCTGGAGACGTCCATGACAGCAGATTTTCCCAATGCAGTTTGTCTTTTGATTTCCTGACTGCTGGTGTTAAGAGTGTTGATTGTGGGTCTGAGCAAGCTGTAATTGCTAACAACCTCAATCTCTTCTCCATCCATCATGGTGCAGCCAGTTGGCCCAGTGGTGAGAATCTTTGTCTTCTTTATTGAGCTTCAATCCATATTAAAGACTACAGTCCTTGCTTGACCTTTTTTGCAGCAAGTGCTTCAGGTCTTCTTCAATTTCGTTCAGCAAATAAGATTGTGTCATCTACATATCATAGGTTGTTAATGAGTCTTTCTCCAATCTTGATACCACACTTCTCCTCATAAAGCCCTGCCTCTCAAATGATCTGTTCTGCATACAGATTGAAAAGGTATGGGGACAGGATGCATCCCTGACACACTCCTTTCCTTATTTTGAGCCATGCAGTGTTTCCTTGTTCTGTTCTGAGGACTGCTTCCTGGTCCAAGTATAGGTTTCATATAAGCACGATCAAGTGTTCTGAATTCCCATTTTCCTCAAGGTTAGCCACGATTTGTTGTGATCCACAGTCAAATACCTTTGCATAGTCAATGAAACACAGATAGATACATTTTTCTGGTACTCTGCTCTCTGCCAGGATGCATCTGACATTGTGCCACCACCCCTTCTGTATTTCTGGTAGTTCTCTGTCAATGCACTGTTCAAGTCTTTTCTGGATAATCTTCAGCAGGATTTTGCTAGTGTGTGATATTAATGATATTGTTCAATAATTTTCACACTCTGTTGGGTCACCTTTTTTTGAAATAGGAATAAATATGGATCTCTTCCAATCAGTTGGCCAAGTAGTTGTCCTCCAGATTTCTTGGCACAACTTGGTGAGCACATGCAAGGCAGCTGTTGTTTTTCAGTGCTGTGTAGCATTCTCTTGTGTGAATGAATATACATAGCTTTTTGTTCTTTTATTTGTTGATGGGCACTTGTGTTGCTTTGTTGCTTCCATCTCTTTGCTGATGTGAAGAATGCAGCAGTAAACATGGGTGTATGTGTTTGAGTGGCATCTCTGGATTTTTTATGGTATATTCCAAGTGGTGGAACTGCTAGGTCAAATGATATTTCTATTTCCAACTTTTTGAGAAGGCACCATACTGCCTTCCAAAGTGATTGTACTGTTTTATACTCCCTTCAGCAATGAATAAGGGTTCAAATCTCTCTACAACCTTGCCAGCATTTGTTGTTTTCTTCTCTGCTAAATTTTGCTATTGTTACTGAAGTGAGAACTTCATAGTTGTTTTTATTTACATTTCTCTGACAGCTAAGGAGTTTGAACATTTCTTCATGTGTTTGTTTTCCATCTGAATGTCTTCTTTGGTGAAGTGTCTATTCATATCCTGAGCCCATTTTGCAATTGGGTTGTTTACCTTTTTCTTGTTGAGATGCTGGAGTATTCTGTAAATTTTAGAGTGCCTTACCAGATATGTCATTACCAAATATTTTTTCCCAGTCTGTGACTTTCCTTTTTACTTTGTTGGATGAGTTTTTTGATGGGTATAGGGATTTTATTTTTAGAACGTCCCATTTATCTATTTCTCTCCTGGTTATAGGTGTTTGAAGATACCTGAAAGACTGTTCATATTGTGGATTATGGCTTGTAGGGTTCTTCCAAGTTTTTTTCTGATGAAGTTTATAGTCCTGGATTTTACTCCTAAATTCTTGATCCACTCTGAGTTGGTTTTTGTGTATGGTGTGAAGTTTGGGTCTTGCTTGAATTTTCCACTGATAGCTTTCCAATTTTGCCAGCACCATTTGTTAAAGAGGATTTTGTTTCCCCACTTAACTGATTTTATGTCCTTTTCAAAGTGATCTTAATTGACCATAGATCATGTTGTTATTGTTATGTGCCATTGAGTTACTTGCAACTCATAGCGACCCTGTGTACAAGAGCCCTAAACCCTGCTCTTACCTGTGCCACCCTCACCATCTCCAACACACTCACTCCCACCACCCCAATCACAGAATCGATCCCACTAATCGAGGGTTTTCCTCTCCTGTGCTGTTGCTCTACTTTCCCCAAACATAATGTCCCTCTCCAGGGACCTCCTTGCAACATGCCCAAAGTATGTCAGACGAAGCTTCAGAATCTTTGACTCCAAGGAGCACCCCGGCATCATCCTCCCCAGAACAAACCTGTTTTTCCTATCCACGGTATATTCAACACTATTCTCCAGCACCACATAGATGAGTTGATTTCTAGGTTCTTAATTCTATTTCATTGATCTGTGTGTCTGTCACTGTACTAGTACCATGCTGTCTTGACCACCATGGCTTTAGTGGGATTTGAGCACAGGAAGTGCGATACCTTCTTCTCTTTTTCAGGAGTGCTTTACTTATGTGGGGTCTCTTTCCATTCCAGATGAATTTGGAATTTGCCTTTCCCATCTCACTGACGAATGGAACTTGAATCTCTTAGCATTTTATTGAATTTGTAGATTTCATTTAGATTATCATGTATTTATTATTTCATGTAGATTATCATTTTCACGATACTGAGTCTATGCATGAGCATGGTATATTCTTCCATTTCTCCAGTCTCTCTTTGTTTCTTGTAGTGATGTTTTGTAATTTTCTTTTAATAGCTCTTTTGTGTTTCTAGTTAGATTTACTCCCACGTATATAATCTTGTGTTTAGCTACTGTGATGAGTATTGTTTTTCTTAGCTCGATTTCTGTATTTTGTTTGTCACTGTAGGAAATTAAGTTTTTTTTTATGTTGATTTTTGTATCCTGTCACTTTGCTGAATTGATTGACTATGTCTAGTAGTTTTCTTGCTGAGTCTTTAGGATTTTCTAAGTATACTACCATATCATCTGCAAATAGATATCATTTGCCTCTTCTTTTCCAAGTTGGATACCTCTTATTTACTGTTCTTGTCTTACTGCTATTTTTAAGATTTCCAATACAATATTGAATGGAAGAGTTGAGAATAGGCATTCTTGCCTAGTTCCTCTTCTCAAAGGAAATGCCTTTAATCTCTCTCCATTCATTGAGTTAGATGTTGACTCTTGGTTTTGTGTATATACTTTTCACTGTGTTGAGGAATTTCCCCTTTATTCCTAATTGTTGAGTGTTTTCATCAGGAAAGGTATTGGATTTTATCAAAGGCCTTTTCTGCATCAGTTGATAGGATCATGTGGTTCTTGTTCTTTGCTGTATCCATGCTTCGTGTGTGACCAGTTTTGCTACCTACCTACCTATCTAAAAATTTAGACACCCAAAGACAAAATAGTTGTTTCCAATTTCTAGCAGAGTTGTAGAAATAGGTAAGTAAATTTGAGAAAATCTGTTTTCTTTTGTCACATAAGGGAGGAATACAATCTCATCCTGTATTCAGGTCATGCAATAGGAAATCAGTTTTTTCTTCACTAATTAAAAAACGTATTATGTGTTCTTTATGGGAAATTTGCTAAGTACAGAATAGAATAAAAAAATCAACCATAATCTCACCACCAATTTGTTCAAGATTTTAACAACAATTAATTTCTAATTTTATTTTCTATGTATAATTATAGAAGGTTGGTCCTTTACTTTGTAAAATTTTGTGAATCTCTACCGGTAAAGATTTATTGCTTTGGAAACCTGATGGAGTGTGGCTTTTAGTTGGAACCAACTTGATGGTAATTTGCTTTCTCAGAGACACTGTTGACATAGTCTTGCTGGGAATCATCTTGTGTTTTGTAGGATTTGTAGCAGTATCCCTAACCTCTCCCTTTTGGGTTCCAATAGTAGCCTTCCCCCAAGTTGTGACATCTAAGTGCCTCCAACAGACTTTACTAGATGTTCCTTAGGGTCAAAATAAACTCCACTGTAGAACCACTATTTTATAGATGATATTATAATACAAGAACTTTCTCATAATATTGCAAGTTCATAAACATGATTTTTAATAATTACATAATTTTCTGTTGCATATATTACCTTTGGTTTTATATTTAAGAGTGTGTTTTTGCGATCTTTTGTACTTAGAGTGAAAATTATTCTGTGGTTAGATAATGCATGATAAAATACATTGATATTTTTTTCTTATAATCTATTGCTGGGAGTACTTAATAGTGAAATGTATTAATAATTTTGTTGTTACTTTCACCAAAGAACCAAAGATATTATTTTTGTTCTAGAACATGAAATTTGGGTTGGTTTTTTTTTTTATTTAACCTCTTTAGTTTTCCAAACATTAAATAAGTGTGTTATAAAATTATTAGAAGTATTTTAATAAAGAATTTTATGTGATATTATAGATACCACTCTTTGGAATCATGTCATCAGATTCTGCAGATCCATTCTACTGGATGAGAGTTATTCTGGCATCCAACAGAGGTAAGCTTTTTTTGGCCTTTATCTGAAGCATAAGAGAGCTCTGATGGCCTACTGGCAAAAAGCTGCACTGCAATCCCAAAGGCACACGGTTTGAGGCCATCAGCTGCTCCATGGGAGAATGATAGTTAACCTCCACCTGTGTGATTAACAACCTCTGAAAACCCACTGGAGGGTCAACTCTGTCTCAGTGGTACACAACAACTACATTTAACAGAGATTAATTTTGCTTCCATACTACTTCTGACATAAAAAAAAAAATGAAAAGTTGATTTATGAACTTTTTCAGTATGTGCAGTGAAGGGGAGGAAATAACAAGAGATATAATACCAGAAAGAGGCCAACATGTAAATAATTTTTATGATAGTGCATGTATTGTCAAAGTATGTACAGAGTATAAAGGTAATCCAGAGAATGAAGTGATTGGCATTGTCTAGAGGTACAGTTCTTAACTCTCTTAGGGATCATGTTTACTTTTAGAATCTTGTATTCCCCCTGGTCATTAAGAAATCCTAACTTACTGTATCAGAGAAATGCTTGAATAGCACTTTGAGTTTAAATTCATTTTGTACAATGTTAGGAGAAATTACATCCCAAGTAGAGGAAAGCTTGAGCTAAAGCAGAAATGCATAATAATAGCATGATGTAGTCTGATAAATTTAGGAGATGTTACTGTTATGTGCTGTTGAGTTGTTTGCGACTCATAGCGACCGTATGTACAATAGCCCAGAAGCCTGCTCTGTCCTGTGCCAACTTTACTGTCTTTGACACATGTACCCCGATTACCCCAGTCACTGAATCAGTCCATCTCATCAGTGGTCTTGCTTTCTTCCTCTGTCCCTCCATACTTCTAAGCATGATGTCCCTCTCCAAGGACCTCCTTGCAGCACACCCCAAATATGTCAGATGAAGCTTCAGAATCCTTGCCTCCAAGGAGCAGCCTGATTTTACCCAATCTAGAATGAACCTATTTGTTCTTCTAGCAGTCTATGATATATTCAACGTTCTTCTCCAGTACCACAGCTCAAAGGCATCAATTCTCTTTCTGTTATCCCTAGTCACTGTCCAGCTCTCTGATGCATAGCAAGCAATTGAAAACCTGGAGCAGGCTCACCACAATCTCAAGACTGACATTGTTGCTCTTTAGTACTCTGGACAGGTCCCTGACAGCAGACTTTCCCAATTCAGTTCATCTTTTGATTTCCTGGTTGCTGGTATCAAGAGTGTTAATTGGGGAGCCAAGTAAACTAAAACTATTAACAATCCCAATCTCTTCACCATCCATAATGATGCTTCCAGTCAGCCCAGTGGTGAGAATCTTTGTTTTATTGATGTTGAGCTTCAATTCATATTGAAGGCTGCAGTCCTTGACCTTCTGCAGTAAGTACCTGCTCAGTTTCAGCAAGCAAGGTTGTGTCATCTGCAGGTTGTTTGATGAGTCTTCCTCCAATCCTGATGTTACATTCCTCCTCATATAGCCCAACCTCCAGGATGATCTGTTCTGTATAAAAATTGAAAAGATTTGGAGATAAAACACATCCCTAGAGTACACCCTTCTCAGTTTTGAACCATGAAATGTTTCCTTACTCTGTTCTGATGACTGCCTCTTGGTCCAAGTATAGGTTTCGCATAAGCACAATCAGATGATCTGGGATTCCCATTCTTCTCAGAGTTAGCCACACACTTTTTAATGGGAGCACATATAGATCTCTTCCAGTCGGCCAGATAGAATTTTGGGAGAGGGTGCTGATAAATTACGCTAAGAAAAGAGAAGAGGGTGGATTATGAAGCTCTTTGTGTATAAGGGAAGGGAAAGTGCTTGTGTTTATTAATCACTGTAAATCTTTATTAAAATGTTGTTGTTGTCATGTGCTGTCGAGTCGCTTGCCCTATGTACAACAGCCCTAAACTCTGCTCTGTCCTGTGCCAGTTGCACCGCTCAGATACACTCATCACGATTACCCCAGTCACTAAATCAGTCCACCTCAGAGAGAGCCTTCCTGTCCTGCGCTGTCCATCCACCCTCCCAAGCATGATGTCCCTCTCCAAGGACCGGTTTCTCCTTACAACTTGTCCAAAATATGTTAGATGGAGGCTCAGAATCTTTGCCTCCAAGGAGCCGTCCGGTTTAACCCTTTTCAGGATGAATCTGTTTGTTTTCCTAGCAGCCCACGGTACCCTCGATACTCTTCTCCAGCACCATAGCTCAAAGGCATCAATTCTCCTTCTAGCCTCCTTAGTCACTGTCCAACTCTCTGATGCATAACAAGTGATAGCAAAGACCATGGCCTGTATCAGGCGCACTTTCCCATGGCAATACGTCTTTTAATTTCCTGGCTACTGGTGCCAAGAGTGTTGACTGTGGAGCCAAGCAAACTAAAGCTGTGAACAATCTCAATCTCTTCACCATCCATCCTGATGCTGCCAGTTGGTCCAGTGGTGAGAATCTTTGTCTTCTTGACATTGAGCCTCAATCCATGTTGTAGGCTGCAGTCCTTGACCCTCTGCAGCAAGTGCTTCAGGTCCTCCTCAGTTTCAGCAAGCAGGGTTGTGTCATCTGCATAACGCAGATTATTGATAGATCTTCCACCAATCTTGACCACACATTTCTCCTCATAGAGCCCAGCCTCCTGGATAATCTGTTCTGCATACAGGTTGGAAAGGTATGGAGATAGGACGCATCCCTGACATATGCCCTTCCCAGTTTTGAACCATGCAGTGTTTCCTTGCTCTGTTCTGACAACTGCCTCTTGGTTCAAGTGTAAGTTTCGTATTAGCATGATCAAGTGTTCTGGAATTCCCATTCTTCTCAGAGTACCAAAGAGAGATAAAATAACCAGAGCACTGATTGAAACAAAAGTAGAATTAGACCAGTGGGAATAGATTTGTGGACTGACAATGACTTGCCTGTTTGCACAGAGCAGCATGACCATTTAAGACTGACTGAAACAAGCACACAGATGAGGAACACAAAACAATTGCAAAGAGACCACCGATGTTGGAAGAAATCAAATATAAGTGACTCTAAAGAAATTACAAGGCAGCCATCAGTGGACCCTCTCTTGGAGTAAAGCACAAGAATTGTATAGATTTATAACCAGGAAACCACAGGGAAATGCATCTAGAGCTAGCACATCATGTTTAGTCACCTGAGCCTCAGTGAAGGAGAAAGTGGATTCAGGGTGTACATAATCACAAGGTAAGAAAGGAGAGGCACAGAAGTGTGGATCCATTGGCCTCTCGCATGTCTGACCCAGTGAATGGCCAAGCCCATGCTCTTGCACATTCATGTTTTAGCTTCCCACTCTCCTGACCTAATGAGTGGTGAGTAGTGCATGCTTCTACACATTGTATCCCTCCTCATACCTTTGTTTTAGTCATCCGATGCTGCTGTAACTTGTGGTACCACAAGTGAGTGGCTTAGGAAAGACAAATGTTTGCAGTTAATTGCCCCTGAAAACCTGCTAGAGGGTCAGCTATGAGTTGGTTCTGACTTGATGAAACACAGAAACAACACACTATAACAGTCGTGTTTGTGTAATGTCCAAATCATCTAACAGTTTATTTTACAGAACACATCATATACATTAAGCAGTGCATATTTGTAATCAGTACATAAAATAGCTTAGAGCCTCAGAAGCTGCAGATATTATCAGAGCACAGAAAGAAGCAAGTTAGGGGAGCTCTGGTGGCCTAGTGGCAAGGAACTGCAACTACAATCCCAGAGGCGCACGGTTCAAACCCACCAGATGCTCTGCCGGGGAAGGAGGGACAATCTCCTCCTGTACCAGTCAGATCTGATTTGACACACACAAAAATAATTTAAAAAAAAAACCTCAAAAACAGAAATAAGCAAGTGGCCAAAATAAAATGCCGTATAATCTGCTTGAGGTGGAAAGAGTGATAGAATTACTTGATAAAGAATTCAAGACTTTTGTTTAAGATCCTACAAGAGATCAAGAAAGAAATACAGGATACTATTAAAAACACCCAAGATGAGGGGAAAAAAACCCAAACAAAAAATCCCCAAGGTAAAAATAGACAAAATTCTAGAATTCAGGAAAACAATGCAGGAACACAACTACAGATAGAAACTATACAAATATAGCAACTAAAAATCTGTAGTTTCAGAAATGGATAACTCATTGGATAGACATAGGGTTAGGCCTAAAACAGTGGAAGACCAAGTTGCAAAACAGAGGACAAATCACATTAATTAGGAGTAATCAGAAGAAGAATGAAGAAAAATGAAGTATTCCTAAGAGCTTTGCTGGGTTTATACTATGAAAAAAAAAAGAATGTACAAGAATAAGATTGATAACCCAATTACAAAATGGGCAAAAACATGGAAAGAATTTTCACAGAGAAAAGATACTCAAATGGTCAACAGACACATGAAGAAATACTCCAAATCACTGGCAGTAAGAGAAAAAAGTACAATGAGATACCATCTCACTCCAGTAACAGTGGCAAAGTTTAAAAGGACAGCAAGTAATAAATTTTGGAGAGGGTGTGGTGAGATAGAAACTCTTGTTGATAGAAACATTGTTGATGGAATTGTAAAATGGTACAATCACTCTGAAAGGCAGTTTGGTGCTTCTTCAAAAAGCTGAACATAAACATTCCATGTGACTCTGCTATTCCATTGCTTTGAATATACCCCAAGAAAATAAGAACTGAGGCTCAAATGGAGACTTGTACACCAACGTTCATCATTACTCACCATCACAAGAACACGGAAGTAGCTCAAGTGTCCAACTCAATCAAATGGATTGAGAAATTATGGTCCATTTACACAATGCAGTACTATGCAACACACAGAAACAATGATCTTGTAAATTATTGCCTAACTTGGGAGGAACTGGAGAGCATTATGCTGAGTGAACTAACTCACTCCCGCATGGACAAATACTGTATAAAACCATTATTGTAGAAAGAAAATAAGGATCCAAGGTGAGAGTGGGTGGAAGCAGAGGGTGGGTGGGGGTTTAATTATGGGGTTGTACAGTTTTATGGGGGGTGTGAGGGAAATTGGAAGAATCTTGTATGAAAAACAATGTATTAGGATTTTGTAAATAAACTAGTATAATTTTAAAAATGAAATAATGTGCATTTGATGGAAATTGCAAAATAGGAGACAAGAATTTTTTTAACAGTTTGCTCACAGAAAGCCTATTAGTAAATATAAGAAGACCTAAGCAAAACTAGGAAACATTAGTACAAGAAAACCAAAGGGACCTACATAAATAAAAGACTTAACATTGTGAAATGGCAATAAGATAAAGTGATCTACAAATATAGTGCAATTCCCACCTAGATCCTGTCATTGTTTTTCAAAGAGGTGAAAAGAGTTCACCAATTTTATATAGAATTTACATTTAGAATTAGCCCGCTGCACTCAGTTTAGATGATCCCAATTTTGTTGGCAACATCCAAAGCATCATAATCAGGAGCAAGTCGAACATAGGCCTTCTCTCCATCAGGCCTAATCAAAGTGTTGACCTTAGCCACATCAATGTCATAGAGCTTCTTTACAGCTTGTTGGTGCTTATTGGCCTTGACATCCACAATGAACACAAGTGTGTTGTTATCTTCTATCTTCTTCATAGCTGACTCAGTGGTCAGGGGAAATTTGATGATGTCATAGTGGTCAAGCTTGTTTCTCCTGGGAGCACTCTTCCAGGGGTATTTGGGTTGCCGTCGGAGTCTCAGCGTCTTAGGCCGCCGGAAGGTGGGTGACGTGCGGATCTTTTTTTTTGGCTGTGGACGCCCTTCAGGACTGCCTTCTTGGCCTTCAATGCCTTTGCTTTGGCTTCAGTTTTGGGAGGGGCAGGGGCTTCCTTCTTGGCTTTTGGCACCATCTTCGTAGAGAGCTGTTTTCTAATTTTTAAGGTTTTTTTTTTTTTTTTTTGTTTACTATCCTTTATGTCCTGACAGCTTTTCACATTAACTCTTCTATATTGTTTTAGATTGATTTTTTAAAAAAATTATTATTTTTTTTGTGTGAGTGTACCGTCAAATCAGATCTGACTGGTACAGGGGGAGATTGTCCCTCCTTTCCCGGCAGAGCATCTGGTGGACTCGAACCGTGAGCCTCTGGGATTGTATGTAGATTGCTTTTTAAGTAAAAAATTAAAAAGTTGCAATGTTCTTCAAATAAAAAATGAATTAGTATGATAATTTTGGGTTTAATGTATAATTTTTTTAAAAATTTTGCATTAAAACAAAAAATGCCTGGTGTTATTTCTATTAATTATTTGGATAGAAATCTTAGGATAGAGCACGGTTTAGGGCTGTTGTACATAGGGTCGCTATGAGTCGCAAACGACTTGACGGCACATAACAACAACAACAGAAATCTTAGCTAATATGCTTCAAAAATTCTTTAACATTTAAAATTTAGTGTTTATAGAAATTGACATTTTATGGGATTTATACACATATTTGCTTAGTGTGTTGTTGCAAGGTAATGTTATTAAATAATACCTTTTTTAGAAATTCATGATTAAGGAAGGACAATATGCTTCCTAAAATTTAAGGAGAAGTTACAATTGATGTGGTTAGTAACAGATTATTTAAAAAATTATTCTGTACATAATAATTATATAGTAGCGATTACTGTGCATAGTAAAAAATAATTCTTGCTTTTTTCTTTCTCCTTCCTTTATAGGAACTTTAATGGAATTGGGTATCTCACCAATTGTAACATCTGGTTTGATCATGCAGTTGTTAGCTGGAGCCAAAATCATTGAAGTTGGAGATACACCAAAAGATAGAGCACTGTTCAATGGAGCTCAGAAATGTGAGCATTAAATTGTGTACAATAGCAGAGTTCTTTCCAAATTTGAGAATGTTTATGATAAAGACATTTTTGTCCCCCAGTTTCAGTTTTTTTGTTGTTGTTAGAATTTAATAGTAGAATGTTTTGGGTTTGAAATTTTGAAATTTGAAAGTTTCTGTTCATACAATTTAGTGACACTGATTCATTACTTGAGATGTAGAACCACTTTTTACTTTTCTTTTTGGAGTTTTTCCTCCTGTTAACATAATAAATTCATTGGCCTGTATGTTTCCTATCTAATCTTTTGAGTTGTTTTGTTACTTTGATCCTATAAAAAAACCGAATAGCCGTGGAGTGGCTTCTGACTCATGGGAACTTGTAGAACAGGGTAGAATAGACTCGAAGGGTTTCTGAGCCTGCAGAATCGTTAGGAACAGACTGCTTTGTCTGTCTCTTAAGAGCCCCTGGTAGGCTTGAACTACCATCCTTTCAGTTAGCAGCCTATTAGTTGACTCACTGTGCCATGTTTCCTTAGGATCCTTACAGATAGATCTTAAAACAGTATAACACTCAAGTGTAAAGACATTTTTCTATAGTCTCTTTTTTAGCTTTGGTTTTACTCCATTAAGCATGTACTCCTTTATTTCCCTAATTTTTGTCAGTATTTGGTATGATTATTACCATTGGGCAAGCGATTGTGTATGTCATGACGGGCATGTACGGGGATCCTGCCGAAATGGGTGCTGGAATATGTCTCCTTATCATTATTCAGGTAAGAAATTCTGGGTTTTTTTTATATAGTGATAACAAGACAATTTGATTTTTCTTTTTTAATGACAACTCTTAGGTCATTGTATTAATTTCTTTTCACCAAATTATGATTTGATTATTAAAGTAACAAATTTTGGTTTTGCAAAAAATAATTTATTTAAATAGCTTCATTGCTATGTAATATAAAGGATTATGGGTATTAAATGTTTCTGAGTCAAGTTTTTCACATTGTGATGTTTCTGAATTCAGCGTGCTTTTCCTAAGTTGTTTCATTGTCACTGTCAGTGAGATAGTGGTCGGCTTGTAGTTGTCATGCTTGACCTTGGATGTCTGCTTGGTCTCATAGTTGTTCATATTGTTATTACATTAATTCAGTTATGTATGTTGCTGGTATAATATGTGCTGAGTTAAGTTTTTGACAATATCTTCAAGAGTCTTGCTTGATGTTATTGAAATGACATGTGTTTACAGAAAGAAAGGCACAGAGACAGTGCCTTTTTTTCCCCCTACCATATTTTTTTATTTTAATATTTTAAAAAATAATTTTAGTGAACATTTACAGAGATTTTGGATTCCATTCATTCATTGCTGCATTTCTCTCCCCGCCCAGCCCTCTTCCCCGCCCCCAGTTGGCTCCTCTCTTTGAAAAGTAAAATAAACACTCTCTCCCTGGTACACAATCTCTCCACACTCCTCCCACTGCCCCAAGTACATTCCACTATGCAACTTTAATTGTGGACTCTTGTGATAACCATAATACCCTATCATACATCGTACATACTGTTTCAGTGCAGTATACACAATTTATCCAGTTTTTCTCAGTCTTACCCCAACCCTGATAGCAGTCCCATTTTATAGCAGTGGCACCATGCAATATTTGTCCTTTTGCGACTGAGATATTTCACTCAGCATAATATCCTCCAGGGTCACCCATTTTGAATAATATAGCATGAGTTCCTTATATTTCAATACAGCGTAGTATTCCATTGTGTGAATATATCACAGCTTCTCTATCCATTTGCTTGTTGATGGGCACC